AAGGAAGAAAGAAAGAAAGAAAACCATGTGTTGAGCTTGCAAACGTAAGGATAGAATAACTGAGGTGCCCACGATTCGGCCATTTAAACTCTAAACACTACCCAGCTCTTTTTAGCCAAGCAGAGATGGAGGAGGAGAAGCCGGAAAATAAGTTAGCTACATCAGAATGATCCTTTACAAACATGTCAGACCATGACTTTTCTCAGCTCCAAGACCTCCAGGGATCCAACCCATTTGGTACCAAAGCCGAAATCCCCTCTATCCCTGCAGGGCCCTACATGACCCAACTGACCTCAACATCCACCACTGCCCCTCAGCACGTGTCCTGCCCGTGCCTTTCTGGCCACCTCACTATTGTTCACACACACCAGACGCCCTCCCACCTGAAGACCTCTCTGTGTACATGCTTTTTTCCTATCTCGTCACGTGTTCCCTGGAATCTCTATTTAAATATCACGTGCACTGAGGTCTTCCCTAACCATCTTACTGAAACATGTCAGCACTCTCTCCTGGCTTCTTTGTTCCATAGTACTTCTGAAAATCTGATGCAACATGTATTATACATATGTATGTATGTGTGTGGGCTGTGGTATGTGTTTACTTGTCTGTCTTCTACAAGAATGTTAGCTCCATGAGAACAGGTATGTTTGTCTTTTGTTAACTGCTATATCCCCAATGCTTTATCCAGTGTCTGACAAACAAGACTGCTCGGATCATGTATTTGTCAAGTGATTATGTCGATGGGTGCATGGATGGATCATGTGAATCTCTGATTTTATTAGTTATTGACAACACCCCCTTAGGATTTAAAAAATTTTTCTTTCTACTTGAGCCCTTGGTATCAGCACATTTTTCCCTCCCTCCCCTACCCTCATGAACCCTTTATAAATTATTATTATTATTATTTTCATATCTTACACCATCCGCTGTCTCCCTTTGCCCATGTTTCTGTTTGTCACCCTTGATGGGGGTGGGGGCGAGGTTATACTGTGATTGGTTCTCTCTTTTCCCCCAGCCTTCCTTGTACCCTCGTGGTATCACTACTCCCATTACTGTTCCTGAGGGGTTTATCTGTCCTGGATTCCATGTATTGAGAGCTCTTATCTATACCTGTGTACATGTGTGGCCGGATTTGTAAGACAGAATTAGGGTCATGATGATGGTGGGAGGAAACATTAAAGAACTAGAAGAATTTTGTATGTTTCATCGGTGCTATACTGTCCCCTGGCTGGCTCATCCTTTCCTTGTGACCCTTCTGTGAAGGAATGTCCAATTGTCTACAGATGGGCTTTGAGTCTCCACTCCCCCGTCCTCATTCATATCGATATGCCTGTTTGTTTTGGGCATTCTGATGCCTGATACCTGATCCTGTCAACACCTCATGTTCACACAGACTGGTGTGCTTCTTCCATGTGGGCTTTGTTGCTTCCCAGCTAGATGACTGCTTGTTTATCTTCAAGCCTCTAAGACCCAGACACTATGTCTTTTAATAGCTGGGTGCCATCAGCTTTCATTACCACATTTGCTTATGCACCCATTTTGTCTTCAACAATCATGTCGGGAAGGTGAGCATCACAGAATGCTTTAGGATAATTTTTAATCCTTTTTACCAGAATGATTCATGCAAAGCCTGCTTTTTTCTGGTGAAGACAATACAAGAAAGCAACTGACCACCAAACAAGCAAACAGAAGGTTTAGAAGTAAAATATTTGAAATAGTCATGGAATGCAGGTGCATTGGAAAGTGGGTTATTACAGATGCCGTTAGGTTAAAATTTAACATCTTATCATTTGATCTCCCTTTTGACATATTTGTTCAAGTTTTTAATATTTTCTTCTTTTCAAAGGAGGTTTTTCTCTGTTTTAGTTTGTTATTGTTGTTGGTCTCTTCACTGGTTTTATTTTTCATTTTTTTTCTGTATAAGAAATCTAGGGTAGATAAATCTATGGAGACAGTAACTGGATTAAGAGTTTTTTAGGTGTGTGGCAGGGGAGGATGGGAGGAAATGGGGAGCCAATAACAGTGAGCACCACCAAGAAGAACAAGTTCTGAAATTGTGGTGATGACTGTACTATTCTTTTTAAGGTGACGGGACGATTGAATTGTAGGAGATATGAACTGTATGCCAATAAGACTGATTTTAAATAGTCTGTGAAAGATTTGCCTTCTCTTTCTGTTCCATTTTCCCACACACGTTTTGAAGCCCCTAGTTAAATTAAATACCAGACGTTGGAACACGGTATTTACAAGAGCACTTTACTCGTGCGAGTGAGCCAGGCTGCACGGTAGAGAAGGCACAGTGAACCCGAGCAGGGCTTCAGTCCACACAGAGTGCACCTGCAAGCTGAGGAGACGCCCCTAACTACACATGGTTTCCTTTGTGACAAGTAAAACCAATAGTGTGGTGAAGAGTAATGAAAGTACCACGGGCTGCCAAAAGAAAAACAGTCTGTCTAGGAAGAGGCATAGCCAGAATGCTCCTTAGAGGCAAGGATGTGAGATTTCTCCTCCTGTATTTTGGACATGTTGTCAGGAGAGACCGGTCCCTGGAGAAGGACACCGGGCTTGGGAAAGTGGGGGGCCAGGGAACAAAAGACAGGCCCTTAACCCGATGGCCTGACACAGTCGCTGCAACAATGGCAACAATTGTGAGGGTGGTGCGGGAGCAAGCCTTGTTTCAGTCTGTTGTACGTAGGGCGGCTCTGAATCAGAAACGCCTCAGTAACACCGGCACCCCCACCGACTTATACACAACAACAAGGGATTCAATACTGTACTAGAGATCATACAATTTCCATTTGAGACATCCACATTTTCAGTAGCTCAGGAACTTTTTTAATTTGTGAATTCATATTCGACAATACAGGAATGTTTTTCCGAACATCCGGACACAAGTTAAACACACATATACTCGTGGTCAATCATTTGTTAGAAGGAAATGGAGAACAGTCTTCCGTTCCTGTGAGAAGTCAGCCAGAGGAAACCCAAAGCCCGCACGCAGGCGCATGGTCTCTCACCTGGATGTGCTGGATCCCACCCATGTTCATCCAGGCCTGGGCTTGGTCTGGGTTGAGCTCCACGGCTGCCCGGTAGCTCTAAAGAAATAAGAAATAAGCTAGAAAACAAGAACTGGTCTTGAACGCCGCAGGGCGCAGAAGGTGCTTTCCTCCCCTGTGAACTCTGACGCGCTGAAGATGATGTAACCTGCTCCCACTGGCTCACCAGTGACACCCCCCCACCCCCCATTTCTATTATTTTTCACCGTTGATGATTCTCCAGGGCTGGAGACTGAAAGGGGTAATTTGGCTGCGGCGCCAACCTGTGGCCTCAGAGACTGAGGATGCCAGCAGGGAATGCAGGTGAGAGCGATGACAGGTTTCCTGCTGGCCCGACCTGCGAGAAAGCTCTGCTTTGGGGCTTGAGACATTATAAATGGAGCTGGTAAGGAAGGGTTGTTTTACACATCCCGGAATCTTAGTTTCCGGACCAGTTAGCGCTGGTGTGGTAGTACTCCTTACTACCAACCTAGTTATTTAGCTTATGTTTGGTTACTTCCCGGGACAAGCTTGCTTACTAGTTCAGAGGATGTCAATTTCACTGGACTACCAACCATCTCTGTGTGTTTTACCATTGTCTGGTGTGGCTTGTGTATTGTTGTGATGCTGGAAACTCTGCCGCTGGTCTGCCAAACCTGTTCATGGTGGACAGTTTCAGTGGAGCTTCCAAGCAAGCAAGAAAGGCCTGGCTATTGACTTTACACTAGCCAGTGAAAACCTTACAGGTCACCGAGCTCCAGCACACCACCATTGAGTCGGCTCTGACTCACAGTGATTCTACAGGACGGGGTAGAATGGCCCCTGTAGGCCTCCAACACTAACTCTTCACTGGCGTAGAAAGCCTCGTCATTCTCCCCTTTGGATCACAACAGTCATATCCAGTCAGCACTGGGATACGTGCACTCTCTGTTGGAAGGCAGGATACGATAGCTGAAACAATGGATTCAAAGACCCTTCATCCCAACACTGTGTACCATTGTGTTCTGTTGTACAAGTGCTGCTAGGAGCCAGAGCCTACCCAATGGTATTGCACAACATTTCCTGAGAAAGCCTCTGACGTCTTGGTGGCATATGAAAGGCCTTCAAGTGTTCTAAGCAAGTCATCTATCCCTCTTGTGTCTGCATGGCACGCATCTCATTAAGTGTAATATCTGGGAGAGGTCATTTGAGTGGTTTATATGTTGCTTTGCATCAAAGGTATTGATTGCATGATCGCTTTGCATGATCACTGTCAATGTTTTGAGGGATCACTGTAAGTAACGTCAAAGTCTGAGGGTGTTGCTTTCAATCACAAAGCTGAGTGTCTATTCATGTATTTTAATATTTCTTGCTATTTCCATTAGCAAGAATCAAACTGAGCAGACCCCGGCAGGGTCTAGAATCTGGCTCACAACTCCTCTACTTCAGTTTGAGAGGAAAGAAGCAAATGATGAGAACTGATACTCTTAACAAGCTACTAAAGTAAGCTTTTAAGGGGTGTCTCTTGAGGTTACTTTATCTCGGCCGATATTTAAGTGCATTATAGTAATTGAGAGGAGGGCGGGAGGGGGTGGGAGGATAGCGGAAACAGAAGAGCTGGTTTGGGGCTACAAAGTAGAATGCTTTAAACACCATTCAGAAAATAATATAAAAGTATTACAGGGTTCTGAATAATCAAATGCCAGAGGCTGGCTGGTTCTTTCCTGTCTCTGTCTGTCTGTCTGTCTCTCTCTCTCTCGCACATGCACACGCACAGTCATAGGAACAAATCAGAGAATTCACTGTACAGATATACCAATGATGTTGGGCTTTTCTGTTTATGCTTCTTTAAAGACCGAGGCAGCGCTGACTTTTATGCATGAAATGAATAGCCTCATTTTAGTCAGTGGCTGTACCTTGAAAGCTTTGTCCAGAAGGTTCTGTTCTCTCAGTTGGTTTCCTTTTGTGAAAAAGAGTTCAGATACGACTTTAGGATCCTTTGGTTTCAGTTGAAGAGCCTTGTCTATAGCATCCAGTGCCTACAGAGATGGAACATTAAGAGACAAACAAGGCAGCTTCGAGAAAGAAAACCTGGTATAAGTGCTGACATGGATTCTTGTTGCTCCTATCTATCAGAAACAGTCGCCGTCAATCCAGACCCTCGTGTTCTCTAATCTTCCTGACTTTCTCATTGAGAAATGATGGGCCCTGGACAAAACCTGTCCCCATGTTTCAGGCTCTATATTGATATACTGGTGACAATTAGCCTGTCCCTAAACACATGGCAGGAAGTCCAGTGTGATGCAGTTGAAAGCTTTGGTGTCACAGGGGTTACATGCTGGGCTGCTAACTACAGGGTCAGCAGTTCAAAACCACCAGTTGTTCTGACAGAGAAAGACAAATCTTTCTACTACCCTAGAGATGTACAGTCTTGGAAAGCCACGAGGCACTTTTACTCTGACCTAGAGGGTTGCCATGAGTTGGAATCTACTTGATGGTAGTGAGTTTGGCTCGGCTTTGGACCCCACCCAACAGCCTCTTCTCTGGTCCAAGGTGGCCATTCTGCTCCCTACAACCAACTGACCACACTGCAGCTGAAGACCCCCTTCACACTGCCCATTGGATCAGGCTGCTCTTCCTAAGCCCCCAACTTCTCCCAGGAGAAGTGCAGAACCCTTGGCCGGGGCCACTAGCCCTGAAGGATGCAATCTGCAGCACTCTCGGCGGCCACGTGTCATAATTTCTCAGCCGGGTCATGTGTTTCTGTCACAGGGCCTCTCGGTGCGCTATTTCCCTGCCTGGAATGTTCTGTACTTTTTGTATAATGGACTCCTAGTCTTCAATCAGCTCTAACCTCTCTGCAACCCCACAGGGAAGCCTGACCTCCCAGACTGGGCAAGTCCCCTTGAGGGAACTCGCCACTCTTCACGGCGTCATTGAGGACAACGGCCGTTTTACGTCTGTTTCATGCAGCTGGCTTGCTCGTTGTCTCCCCTGTTCGCTGCTAGGTTCCTTGAGGATAAAAGCAGGGGCTTCCATCCCTCCCATAACGTTTTATTCCTGGTACCTGCATCACGTGGTCTGCATATAGCAGATATTCAACAAATGTTTTTTTAATGGATTTAAGAGTCTATTGATCTATGACCTTTAAATAGGAGAAAAGTAAAAACAGTGGTGACATGGTGACACTGCCCTCATTACAAAGTCTTTATCGGACTAAATAAGCCAATATATTATAAGGGACGTGGAAATAACAGAGCACACAAGCAGGAGTTATCATTATTAAACAGTGAGTTGAAAACAAATTGAGATCCTAGCACATAAAATTTGTTTTTGAGAGCTGTTGTGCATTATATTAGATGGCTTAGAGACAGCAGTGCTGCTTCTTGTGGCTGGACAGAAAAGAGTCTGCTCCCGCATAAAAGGCTTAGTGCACGGATAAGCCAAGAAATATTATTTCAAGGGACATCTTTTAGCTGAGAGGACCCGTGAAAAGCTTTCAGAAACTAGGATACTCTGAACGATGGAACATACGACTGCTCATCCCTGTACATGGCAAACTGCGGAGCCATGTAGGAGGCACCGCGGTTCCTAAGCAGGAACTCTGCAATGTACTTGTCTACCTTGTCGTGGTGCTCCTGCTTGCTGTAGATGGCTGACAGAAGGCGGTAGCATTCCAGGCACCCAGTCTCCTCGGACACAATGTGGTTGGTCATCTTTTCAGCTTCTTTGGTCTGACCCATCACAGCTAAAACCTGAGCCTGCAAAATCCCACAGATCTGGCCTTAGAAGACATTTTGTTCCTTGGTCAAATAACGCATCCATAAATATGCACAGAGGCATTAAAAAACACCTTCCTGTTCAGCATCTGTTTAGGGACTGATAGAACGGGCAGTTACTACAGGTAGAGGTTTTCATTCGATTCAGGTATGTGTGTATGCTCATTTGTGAGTCACTACAGGTCAAAGGTTCTCATTTTCTCTAGGTTATGTAGGTATGTTTGTATGTATGCATGTTTGTATGTGTGTGTATGTATATATATGTATGTGCATTTGGGTGTGAAAGGCAAAAGCATCAAAGATGTCCAATAAAATGATTTGTGCCCATAAAAATATTGACAAAATATGTGAAAATATAAATTATGCCTTATGGTTCCAGCAGAACAAGATAACAAATTTGGCTTATTAAATATTGAGTTAACTGGAAGAGCAAAGTCTAGAGATTTGAAATAAAAAATATCACTGGTATTAATCTTAGCGTTCCTGAGTTGGTTAGACAATATCCCTGTTCTTAGGAGCTATTTAGCAACAAAGGGCATATTGCCTAGAAGAAACTCTCACCTGGCTCAGGAAAGAATAATCTATACCAATACTATGTGTCTACACACATACCTAACCATGTACATATATACATACATGTGTACACAAAATTACATACATAGAGACTTAAAAGCAAAGGTATCAAAACGTTGAAAATTAAGAGTAAAAGGGGTATTCAGAGGTTTTGTCCTTTAACTATTCTTGTATAAGTATGAACTGATTTCCAAATTAAAACAAGGTATTGTGGTGTCCATATCTATGGAGAAGGGCTTTCACATTATTTGTTGCAGGTTTGTTTTCTTGACCTTAGTGAATCGTTTAGCTAAACGCATACCAATTCGACCATTTCTACCTGTCGTGCGCCGCAAGCACGGGCAGCACCCTTTGATTTGCGTAACTACTCAGACCTTCCCTTTCTGAGCGGTCCCTCCCAGGGACACACACTCACTGTCCTGCCCGACGCTTCCTCACTAATCTCTCGGGGAGCTGTTACTGGGGCGCCATACAGTCAGTTCAGAAAGGAGTAGAATGCTCAAGACAGGTGCTTCTTACTCATTCAGGAAGACTGCTGTTGGTGTTAAAAAGACTTCAGGGATATTTCTGGCTTGAAGCTTAAAGGCTTCTAGCTTAAAGGGCACTAGTTTCGGGGATTCATTTTATTAGCATTCATAAAGTGGATATACTATTGCGTTTGAGGTCTAAGGAGCCCAGCTGTCTCTCGCACGAGCCGGGCTCGGTGTCCAGCATTGTTGTCCTGGGCTCCCGGCTCACCAGTGCCAGGCGCAGTTCTTTTGGCGAAGGCTGAAGGGCGGCGGCTTCCCGGTAAATCTGCAACGCCTCGTCATAGCGGCCAGTGTTGTAATATAACGCTCCCAGTGGCGACAGAATCTCCGCCGCGCGAGTCACCTGTAGTGCGCTGAGCCGTGAGAAAAGCAAATGGTCATGTTACCTTCAGTAGGTGCCTTTCCAGCCTCCTAAACCTACGCTGAGAAAGGGCTGTCCATGGGTGGAGATGCCGGTCCAACATGGTCTTTAAAATAAATCGCAAAATAAAAAGGTGGTTCAAAAAGTTAGGGAGAAAAATAGACTTAACAGGATGCGATGTAGCAACGAGGAAAAATACAGCTTTCCTCTAGTCCCTAAATGCTTCCCCTCTGCCGCAACTCTCATGATCCCAATTCTACCGTGCAAGTCTGGCTAGACCAGAGGATGTACACTGGTACAGATAGGAACTGGAAACACAGGGAATCCAGGGCGGATGATCCCTTCAGGACCAGTGG